ATTGCTGAAGCCCCAAAAGTCAAGGCTGCAGTGAGCCATGATTGTGTCACCGCACTCCAGCCTGTGTGACAGAGCAAGATCCTGCCTCAAAAACTAATAATAATAAAATGGCAAAATTTAATTAATTCCTTAATTGAAAATGAAAAAATAGGGAAGTGCAAAGGGTCATTGGGTATTTCTAAATCTCTGGGAGGCTGTAACTTAAACTAATAATACCAATCCCACAACTGCTACATCAAGCCTAAATAATAGCAGATTTGTTCCAGGGCTGACATTATGATTTCAAGAGCTCCTCCTACCAGGATTGCTAAAGCCATCATCTTCCTCATTTATTTAATTATTAGATATCTGTTGCAGATATATATTATACCTGCTATATGCCAGGCACCACGCTAGGTGATAAATCTGTAAGTGTACTGCCCTCAATGAACACGTAACCTACTAAAGAAGATCAGTTACTCAACTATTTAAACATGAGGCAGTGAGCTGTGCTATCAGAGATACACAGGGCACTTTGGGGGTTTCATCCATTTTCTCAAACCATTAGGTAGGCATGAAGATAGTGATGTGTCTACAGGTAAACATAAATGAAATAAAATAAAATAGAGCTTGCCTAGAGGCCACTTGGTAATTAAGTGGCAGAGTCCCGGCCTGATCTCATGTCTTCTAATGACATGCTCTCTGTTCTCTTCACTCTAGCACAGCCTCTCCCTACATAAAGTGATCTGGAAGTTCTCTTTGCCAGCATCTTCTTTCTAGATGTTCTTTGTCCTTCCTCGAACCCTAAGTAAGCATGTGCTGTTCCAGCTCTCTAGAAGAAGAGGAGATGGCTGCACTGTTCTTAGGGGATGTGGTCTGCAGGTGCTACTGGTGGGTGGAGCAGGGAGGAACAGCAGAGGACTGGTTCCAGGGTCTTGTGTAGGTGGAGAACCGTAATTCTGCAGGTGGGACTCCTTGGCAGTATCAGAGTTACCAATGGAGCATCTGAGGACATCTAGGCACAACTGATTTTGCTCAAAAATATTTATTTTTCTTCTGTCTCAGAAGGAGTTTGGGGCAAGAAGTCTTTTGCTTCTCCCCAGATCCTATCTCCCTCCCTTCCACCCCATCCTGACACTTTCCCCTTTCCTCCTCCATGTCTTTCTCTCTCCTCTTCTCAGTAAGAGTCCCCAAAACACACACTTTTTTTTTCTTTTCTTTTTTTTTTTTTTTTTTTTGCTTCTATAAGCTCCTTTTTTCTTGTCCCCAAATCATCTGTTTCATGAGTCCTGAGAGGCTGGTCCCTGACCTCATAACCATAACCCTCACAGTCTCAGCCGCCTGCAGGCCTCCCTGTGCTGATTAGAATCAGCCTGTCTGGTACAGGGGGTCAGAGAGGGAAAGGCATAATGCAGAGACGGAGAACACATTTCTAAAATCTGATCTTGTGACTCAGTAAATCCAACTCCACCACAATTTGTACTAATTGGAACTCAGTAAGGGAGAGTTATGGAACTACTGTTCGCCAGTAAAGGAAAGCGTGAAGCAGGTACTCACTACACCTTTGGAGACAGAACACTGTAAATGTTCTAAAGCCTCTTGTTTTAGGCTGCTTGTTGTGGGTTTTGTTGTTGGTTTGTTTGAACTATACTTTCAGGCACCTAACTCACAGATTTTGAAAGCAGAAATAAAGCCCTTCCTTATTTCTCACAGGTCTTGTTTGCAGGAACCCATGCTGGATGCAGGCAAAAGTCCCAAAGTTTCAAGCATGTCTCATCCGTCTACAGGTAATTAGTCTGTGCTGTGGTAATGGGCACCCAAGGGCCTGGATGGTGGGCACATTTTAAAAACCAAAGACAAACAATTGACAATTGCAATCTCATTCTCAGAAACATCTGTCTGGTTGTCAAGACAGGGAAGGGCAGGCAACACAGATACCGGAAATGTCCCAACTGAGATATGCAAGTTCTCAGCAGTGTCAGGGGAGCAAGAATGGGGCATTCCAGAGATCAGATGAGATGGCTGAGGCACAGTTACCAACATAAATGCCAACATCTGTATGTGCACAGCCCTTTGAGACCGAAACACTGCTATACATATAACACTCAGTAAGAGAATTAGGATAGTGGGATGCTACTTTACAGATGAGAAAAGAGGACCAGAGAAATTGTGCAATTTGCATAAGTCCCATAGTAAGAGGCAAAGTCAGGATTTCCAGCCGAGTATGCTCTTTCCAAATTACCATAATTATCAAAAGCAGTGGCATAATAGTTAATGTGATAAAACAAAGAACTGTGTTGAAAACTTAAGTCTTCTTCTCCTTCTTCTCTTCCTTCTCCCTCTCCTTCTCTGTCTCCTTCTCCTTCTCCTTCTCCTTCTCCTTCTTCTTCCCGTTTTTTGGGACAGAGTCTCGCTTTGTTGCCCAGGCTGAAGTGCAGTGGCATGATCTCAGCAAACTGCAACCTCCACCTCCCAGGTTCAAGTAATTCTCCTGCCTCAGCCTCCCCAGTAGCTAGGACTACAGGTGTGCACCACCACGCCTGGCTAATTTTTGTATTTTTAATAAAGATGGGGTTTCACCATGTTGGCCAGGCTGGTCTCAAACACCTGACCTTGTGATCCACCCACCCTGGGCTCCCAAAGTGCTGGGATTACAGGTGTAAGCCCCCACGCCCGGCCCGAGAACCCGTCGTCTTAATTCCAGGACAGTCTTTTTACTACCTAAAAAAACCAAACTAAGTAATCATATTTCTTTGCCTATTGTTATTGGAAGAGATTAATCAGCGTTATCTCTGGGTAAATAACAATAAATAAGAAAGCAAGTGTAACGCGCCAGCTCAATCTTTGTCCTATTGCATCTAGTCTTCTGAAATGATAGATATTACACTTTTTCCAAAGGAGAAGCAGCCTTCTGCTTTCAGCTGCAGTGGGCTTTTGTCTTCAAAGGTCTAGCTTAGAAAAACACAAAATGTAAATATTGACAGGCTGGGTCAGCATCAGTGTTAGGAGACAGAGTTATCCTGCATGAATGCATGCTTAGCACAATTTAGAGATAATCCAAATTGTCCTACCAGAGTCTCAGTACATCCTAGTGAATTCCACTTATGTCTAAATGCTCCCTACCCATGAGTTCCTTAGCACATAAGTAGTATTGCCAAACATCTTCAGTCTGTCCTATGGACACCACCCTCTGGCTCAGGGGCTGTGGAAGAAAGGGACGGAGTCTCAGAATTTTTGATCTATAACATGCCATCCGTTCACATCAACTCATCCAAGTTACTGTGAAAAGTCAAATAGAATTCTGATCCTTTGTTTGGGCATTTAGTCACTTCTGGTTTCCAATACTAGTTTTAACATAACCTAGACCATGGGTCTATACGAAGTAAGAGCAGCGCAGGGTGAGGGGGGGTTATCAGCCATGCAAACAAACAAGTAGCTGTAAAAACATGACAAAGGGGGCAGAAAAATCCCAATGGGTTTTCTCCACCAGTGTAATGCCATATTAGAATTCCTTTCCATTTCACTTAGTTTTCTATTGCGTAACAGTCATAGAGTCCTGACCTTTTCTGAGAGTGGCTGGGGAAACGTGGGTCCACAAAAGCTGATTATTCCATCAAGTTTACACTGTGGGACGGTGACTCCTGGCTCAGGATTTGCCATCAGGCTATACAGTCAGCCCCACACTGGTGCTCTAACGTTTCACCACAATACTAAAGGCTTCAAAAGGCCACTTTCCTAATCCCATTCACAGACATCTACATTCTCTCATTCAAAAGTGTCAAGATGATGATCCTAACCCCTAGAGCCTTCACCTCACCATAAGAAAAAACCTCATCACTTTAGATTCAGGACCCTGTGAAGTTACCTTAGTGGACAATGATCCATTTGCCTATTGTCTTTTGGAAAAACCTAGAGCTGTGAGCCCTAGGGGGAGCCAAGGCTTTGCTTTTTGGAAGGCTGTATTCACAGAGCCTAGTTTAGAGGCAGTACATAAGCAGCACTCAATGGATACCTGTTAGATCAATGAATGCACCTGCATTCACTTTTGGGAGATGAGAGAGATAAGTGTAAGCCCATCAATTGATTTTCTCTGGCATTCTGGGACTCTGATTTGCCCTCTCATGCTTTGAAAAGGTCATGAAACCAATCCTGTGTAAAACTGCCAAACTTTAACCCATACAGAAATGGCAGATCACCTTTTGGTGTGACCAACAGGTTCCTAATGCCCTCTGGTGGCCAGGATGATTCCAGATGTCCAAGTCCCCATGCTTTCCTAAGGCTTTCAATTTAAGCATCCCAGAAACCAAGAGTCTGCAGGTTTCATCTGATCTGTCCCCTTCTCCAAGCCAGAGTCCTGAGTCTGTGGGTCAGAAAGATGCCACTCCCTTCCCAAAGTTCCCTGAAGAAGCGTCTCATCTGTTTCCTGAGAGTAGATAGATAGATCAAGAAGGTGAAACTGAATCTTTTAATGTGAATTGCCTTTCAGTGAATGAATTGTCTGTGGTTTCAAGAGTTCCTTCGGAAAAAAAAAAAAAAAAGAAAAAAGAAAAAAAAGACCATTCAAGGGAAATAATAATTTTTAGTCAAGAATGTTTAGCTTTCCATTTACTTGGGATTTTCAGGTCACCTCACCCTTCTGAGCATTGTAGACCTGCAGAAGGTTTCAAATTTTGTATTGCTAGCGTTCCATGATTACATTTCCATTTTATGGAAAGACAAGCTGAGGATACAAATCAATTATTGAAAAAATGATAACTATTCTCTCAAGCCTACAGGAGGCTTTCATTTTTGTTTCATTTGAAATATGTGGTCAATGAAAAAGAAACCTAAACTGCCACAGGGAGTTTTAGAGTAAATATCACAGGGGCAGGGATTTTTGTGTTTTATTCCACTGTTGACTTCCCAGCACCTGAAACAGTGTCTGGCACGTTAATATATATTTGATGCATGAACGAATGAACGAACTGAGCCTAAAGAGAAAGAGGTGTTTTTGATGAAAATTATTATTATTATTATTATTTTTTAAGTTCGAACTCATTTCCCTTTTATTAAAGTACAGGTTACCATTACATGGCTTCATACTCAATAAAGGAAAACTTGTTCAAATAAGGTAATATGTTATCTTCAGTATTTCCAGGTGACTGTTTACACTCAAGTACTCAAGTAGCAATATCAATAAATCCTTGGGAAGCCCATCCATCGGGTTTACACTTTGTCAAGGCCCAGTTCCTCTGGAGTGAAGATTCCCAGTTCATTTAAAGTTGGTCTAAGTTCCTGGATGACATATGGGTAGATTTCCTTATGAGGTCCTGCTTTGTCCTTAACAGCCTCTAGGATGCGAACTGTACTAGCAAAATCATTTAACCGTCTGCATGCCCGCAAAGCAGCATCAATGATCTTGGGCTCTGGAACCAGATCATAGGTAACAAGTGTGTTTATCCCTTTACGCAATTCCCAGGCATCTATATCTGGCTTGTTGAAGTATGTTACCCAGCGAGCATCAAACTCCTCATCTGTCTCACTTGACCCATGGGAATAGCAGCGAACTGACTGGATAGCCGCGGCGGGGCCGGGGGTCGGGGCGGAGTGCGGGAGGCCTCGAGGGCCGGCCCGGGCGGTTGAGGCCACAGTGCAGCGGCGGAGAGCGGCGCCCAGTATGACTGCGATGGGGGCCCGCGAGCAGAGGTTGGAGAGAGAAACCGGTGTGAGCTCGCAGGTGGCTCGCAAGCGGCGGGGGCCGGACTCACGCACAGGCGCACGATGAAAATTATTGTATGTTGGTACTAGTTAGTCCTTTTTTGCTTTTTTCAGTCAAAGTCTCACTCTGTCACCCAGGCTGGAGTGTGATGGCGTTATCTCAGCTCAAGCAACTCCGCCTCCTGGATTCATCTCCTGCCTCCAGAGTAGCTGGGATTACAGGCACCCGCCACCACACCTGGCTAATTTTTGTATTTTTAGTAGAGACAGGGTTTTGCCATGTTGGCCAGGCTGATCTCAAACTCCTGACCTCAGGTGATCCTCCTGCCTCAGCCTCCCAAAGTGTTGGGATCACAGGTGTGAGCCATTGCGCCCAGCCAGTTAGTCCTCATTTGGAGAAAAGGTCATCTCCTTCCTTGACAGCCTTTAAAAGAGAGTTGAATTCTCATTTGTCTTCAAAATTATAAAATGTGAGGGCTGGAAGTCTTTGCTGTCATTCATTTACTGCACAAATGAGTAAAATGAAGCTCAGAGAAGTTAACACTCCAGAGATCACACAGCTATTTAGTGGCAGAGCCCAAGTGAATCCAAATCTTCACCCCTAACACTCTAAAAAAGCAACAATGGGCCAGGCACAGTGGCTAATGACTATAATCCCCGCACTTTGGGAGGCCGAGGCAGGTGGATCACTTGAGGTCAGGAGCTCGAGACCCGTCTGGCCAACATGGTAAAACTCTGTCTCTACTCAAAATACAAAAATTAGCCAGAAATCATTTGAACCCGGAGGCGGAGGTTGCAGTGAGCCGAGATCGCACCACTGCACTGCAGCCTGGGCAACAGAGTAAGACTCTGTCCCCCTCTCCCCCCAAAAAAAAAGCAACAATATTCAGTTTTTGGCTGCCACCCACAGTAAGAATGACAATATAAAAAAGAATTTAAGAAACAACACTCACCTTCTCCATGTAATGCACCCTGGTTTGATGTACATCTATTTCATTTTTCATAGTATTCTGCTCATCACTCACTAAATTCATTTTACAACCTGAAATTTTAAAACACTTCACCACAGCATTTTGCCTACTATAGCTTCTCCCCTTGTACAAGCCTAAAGTTCTCCAGAATCTTCTGCCCATAAAAAGAACGAGAGTGGTCAGCTTTGGGGGACCTATTGATCCAAAGTCCCGAATTTTCTGACTTGGTACAGGCCGTATCTCCCACTGTCAAGTTTCATCTCTCTTGCAAGAGTCCAGTCCAAGCAACTCTCCTTCCCAGCCAGGGTAACCACAACAGTGCATCTCAAACACAGCCCAATTTATCTGCAGCAGCCTTGTGCCTGTCCTTGACTGGCTCTCTAACCCACAAGTTAGTAGGGATTTGCATCTCTACATAAAATAGCAAGCCCTTATCTCCCACTGGCCCCTCTCCACTGCTATCACTCTTCCCCTACCCTGGGAGCCTTCGAGGGGGGAGAATGGTGGCAGCCGGAAGAAGAGCAGAGAAGGGTCAGAGCAGGACAAGTGGTTGGATCTGAGAAGGTCACCAGCTACATAAGTAGATGTGAACAGATGGACTGCTGGACAGTCTTAAGGCTGTAGGCAGTGTCTCTCTCTCTCTCTCTCTCTCTCTCTCTCTCTCTCACACTCACACACACACACACACACACAAACACACACAATTGCAACATATTCTCCCTTTACTTTTTAACTGATAATTTTCTCCATCATCTCTTCCCCTAATTTCTACCAAGTTTTCTCTCTCTCTCTCCCTCTCTCTCTCTCTCTCTCTTTAACATAGTTAATATGGTAGGAAGACAGTTTCTTGGCTATTTTCCTTCTGACTGACAGGTTGAAACTTTCTACTCTGATTTCCCATTTTCCTGCTGAAAATCAGCAAGACAGGATTTGGCAAGAGGGTGCTTTGTGGCAGCCAGGGCTGAAAACTTCCCCACAGCAAACTGGGCACATTCCCACGACCCCCTGACAGCGGGCAGAATTTCCAAGGCTGGCAGCTGAGCCCCTCTCAGGAGCAGTGCAAACCCTGCAGGCTGCATTTGTCTCTTAACAATAGCATCAACTTGCCTGCGAGGCTGGGCAGTGAAGGCCAAGAGACAGCAAAGGAAGGGGAGTCTCTTGGGTAATGCTTTGAATTTTTGTCGCTTATTTCAGATTTTCTCATGAACTATTTTTGAGACTAGGCTTGCAGGTCTGGAGTTCTGCTCCAAAAGGAGAAGATCAGAATGAAGTGAGAAGGCAAGAGAGTACCACCCAACCCTAGCTCTGCCACCAAAGTGCTGTGTGATCTTAAGTCAGTTACTTAACCTCTCTGGCTCTCATTTATCTCAATTTTAAAATGTGAGATTAGATTTTAAAAACAACAATTAATCGGTAACCTTCAATGGTGTTTTCAATTGTTCAGAATCTAATTTATTCTCTTGAAAACAGTCAAATAAAGAAAATGAATGAAGCATTTTTTCTTGCTTTCCCATACCGACCGCAATAGTGAGGAATCAAATTCTTGTTGAAGGGAGGCATCTCTTTGAAAGTCTTCCCACAAATTAATAAAAAAGAAATGATAGAAGATTACTGTTTTGCAACATCCAGTGAATTGATGAATCTAGACATGGAACGCTAATCACTACTCATACCACAAAAAGAGAGACAATCAGGCATTACGTGCTTCTCAATGAAAGAATATAACATCATCCATAATCTTGCCAAAAAGAGCAAACCTAGGCAAATAAAACTTCTCAATTCGGCAACCAATTTGCAGGAAATAAAGGGGACAGAGAACATGTTGAACTGCACTCTGAGTATGTAATCAGTAAGCTCCAAACAGTGAGAAACTCTGCATGCCAAATGTCCTAGGTTCTTTCAAGAAAGTTTAACAAAAACAAAGGCATGTAAGGTGAACTTGTAGAGTTAAAGAAATTTATAAGAGACGTCCTTTTTTTTAATTTTTATTTTTTGAGACAGAGTCTTGCTCTGTCACCTGGCTGGAGTGCAGTGGCATGATCTCGGCTCACTGCAACCTCTGCATCCCAGGTTCAGAGGATTCTCCTGCCTTAGCCTCCCAAGTAGCTGAGACTACAGCTGTGTGCCCCACACCTGGCTAATTTTTATATTTTTAGTAGAGACAGGGTTTCGCCATGTTTGTCAGGCTGGTCTTGAACTCCTGATGTCAGGTGATCCACCCACCTTGGCCTCCCAAAGTGCTGGGATTATGGGTGTGAGCCACCATGTCCCCAGCCCAGGAGATGATGTATTTGTCAGGGGAATAATTGTTTTGGGGAAGAAAGAGTCTGTGTTTGGATCAGGATCCACAGAGGGCTTCTGAAGCAGCTAGCAGTTCTGTGTCCTCTGTGATCTTTCCTGTACCTGTGTTTTATTTTACAGTGAGATTTGTTTTTTTGTTTTTTGTTTTTTTTTTTTTTTAAAGAGAAAGAGTATCAAAATCACCTTTAATTATTTACGGAGCTAGAACGTTGGGATTCTGGGATTCCAAATCTGGAAAGCTACAGGGGCTATAACTGTGAGGTTGCTTCTGAGGCAATGAGGAGGAAAGAGAGCAGAAAGACTGAGGTAGGTTCCAGGTGCAGAGCTAGATAGACCTGGCCTTGAGTCTTGACTCTGCCGCTTACCGTGATGCTGGGAAATTCAGCTAACCAGTCGAATCCCATTTTCCCCATCAACTACGCGGAGATAGTAAGAATGCCTGCCTTGGTGCTGTAACAATGAAATGAAACAGCTCCTCGGAGTTTTTAGCATAGACTCTGGCACATACCTAGTACTAAATACAGGTTGGCTAATAAAAATAACAGTGATGATGATTACCTGTGTTATTATTATCTCTCTGGCTATTTGGACACCCCTAATCAGACATAAATCAGAAAGCAGAGTGCAAGAACATGGTCCTTGGCTGGGAACAGTGGCTCATGCCTGTAATCCCAGCACTTTAGGAGGCTGAGGCGGGCGGGTCACCTGAGGTCAGGAATTCAAGACCAGCCTGGCCAACATGGTGAAACCCCGTCTCTACTAAAAATACAAAAATTAGCCAGGCATGGTGGCTTACACCTGTAAGCCCAGCTACTTGGGAGGCTGAGGCAGGAGAATCTCTAGAACCCAGGAAGCGGAGGTTGTAGTGAGCCCAAATCGAGCCATTGTACTCCAGCCTGGATGACAGAGCCAGCCAGACTCTGTCTCCAAAAAAAAAAAACACAAAAGGGACACGGCCCTCTGGGGAGGACATTAGTGATGAAGGTGGTTGCAGAGGGGTTTGCTTCACAAGCCTTCTGGCTGGCGCATGCTCACCCCTGTGCAATATCCAATGGACATGCTGACTCCTCCATTCATTCATTCATTCCTTTTTTCTTTTCTTTTTTTCATTTTTTTTTTAAGAGAGGGTCTTACTCTGTCACCCAAGTTGAAGTGCAGTGGTGGGATCATGGCTCACTGCTGCCTTGACCTCCCAGGCTCAAGCTATCATTTCATCTCAGCTTTCTGAGTATTTGGGGCTGCAGGCACATGCCACCACACCTGGCTAATTTCCTTGTCTTGGTTTTTATTATTTTTTTGGTAGAGACAGGGTCTCGCTATGCTGTCCAGGCTTTCGATATAGTCTTCCTCCCCCCACCCCTGGCTTTCCCCGAAGCCATCCTCATCAAATCAGTCTGGCACCCTGCCTGTCCTTGGTTCTTCTGGTCTCCAGGTGCAGGAATTCTCAGGGCAACACTTGCTGTTTCCATCAGACACTGGGGCCACTTTGTGTGAGGGAGGCCATCGGGATAAGCAAATGCCTGTGGGAGGCAGGAGGGTCTAGAGGTTAAAAGCATGTGCTCTGCACAGGATCAACAGCCCACACCTGCCTGCTGAGTGACTGTGGGGATGAGGTCCAGCGTGGACACAACAGGCTGTGGCACCTGGGAGCACCACACATGCCAGGAGTCACCCGGATGCTTCTAGCAGAATGGCCAAATACCTTCTGCTCTTCTTACTTTAATTTTTTGTAAGGGAGGGAGGGAAGGAAGGAAGGAAGCAGAGAAGGAAGGAGAGAAGAAGCGGGGGGAAGTAGGAGAATCTTATGCCATCTG